AACCTCTTCCCGTTTCTTGAGTGAAACCCAACTTCTACAGCTCACGCTCACGCTGCAGCCCACGCCTTTTCTTGGAGGAGCAAGCGAGCTAGCATGTGTTGAACATTGTTGAACCGTTCTTTCTGAACTCAAAAAAAGAGTCGAATCTATTCTGCGCATGGCACACCTGCTGATGGCCCACAAAACAGAATGCAGAAGGCCTGTTTTGCCAATGCTTTGGAGAGGTGTTTTGCCAGGTACCCACTCCATTCACCTGAAGCTTCTCCGTCATTCACGTCAAGGTTTTGATCCCAGCGTTGCGTCAAGTCTAAACGCATTGGCAGGAGGACTTGACGGCAGGACGACTCGATCAGGAAACCATTCCTGGTGCGAAAAACCCACAAGGAAACCATTCCTGGTGCTTTCTGCTGTGACGGGGTGTTCATCTGGACTTGCGGAGTGGACTACTTGGCACATCCTGCCTGGGCGTCGCTGGAGATCCTGGAGTAGTATATGGGGGCCTAGTCTAGCCAGGACACCCAGACAGGGTCCTGACACTCCCGAAAACTCACATGAACCCGGGTCGAAGGGTGCACCCCCCGCAAAAAAGACCGCTTGCCTCTAGCTGCACCAGTGGTTTTTGAGGGTCCATGTGAGTTTTCAGCCGCGATGGGTCCAGCTCCCAGCTCCGGCATCCCCGCCTTGGACGCTTCCATCTGCTTCTCCCTGCAGCGTTTTTTGTCGACATGTGCATCGGCAAGGGCCGAAAAGGAATTGTGATTTTTCCAAAAAGACAGCTCCGAAGATTGACCTGGAACCAATTATTGTATGATTCGTCCATATTCATGGATAATCATCCATAGATTCATCCCCCTTTTCTCTTTCGAACTTTTAGATCGTCAAAACCAAAGTCTGAAGGACACCAGCAAAATCAACCAAGAGGCCCTGACAGGGACTCCTTGAGATCTGATTTTGGGGGCAAACGCGGAACATTTGCCAACTTTATCTTACTGCCGTACAGTAGAACATCAAGCAGCCTTCTGGTGATGGTCAATTTAGCTTCCCTCTGAAAGCACAGCCCAACTCAATGACGCACAAGGCATTCGTCTCTTTTCAGGCTTGGGGGCCTTTCAAGCGCTAGACAACCACAGGGTGAATCCCATTGAAATAACATTTAAACAACGATGGACCCAGTCGCAGTCAACCTCCCGAGAGCATCCAACGATCGCCAAAACCGGTCCTCAAAAGGAGTCGACTGGTTTCGCTCAGCTCCTCTCGTATGCTCTGGCGAATGGTTGCCTGCAGGGTGTGTGGGGTCAAGAATCAAGTCAGGGTGTGGGGTCAAGAATTTGGTGAATCCCAGATCAAGCTTGTGCTCCATTCACTGATTGGGGCGCGCAATATTGTACAATGTTGTCAATATGATACAATTTAGTTGGATGATGTTAAAATATGTTAGATGGCAAAGGGCTTCTCACACAACGATTCGCTCCAAAAATGAAACACAACATGTTGATTCGTTTTGTCATTCCCAGAATGGACCAAAACGGTACATACCCCGCCCCTGTCGCAACATGTTTGCCTAAATGTCGCAATCAATTCTGCAATGGCTCTTGTGAAAAAGAACCTCCATCCACCCACTCATCTGGTTAGTCTTTATAGTCAGGTCTTGCCGCGGCATCCACAACTCATCCAAACCCGAGATGGGACCATTTACTGCGCTTCGCCAGTTGCATCTTCGAAGGTTTTGCGGTGTTCTTTCCATACCTCACCCTGCGAGGAGCGGGGCAAACCGACCATCAAGAAGCAATCCAAAGCCTGGCACGCCAAGCCTGGTCCACCAAGCCGGGTGTCTCTTGGCTCGCCCAAAAACACCAAAAACAACCACTCCGGGGTCCTTCACATCGATCACCCGCATCCCACCGCTCCTCTTTCGCATCCCAACGCCCCAATCCAACCCCTTCTTTTTTAGTAGCTTAATTGTTGTAGCGATGGAAGGAGCCCCTAGTAGCTTCTTGCTCCTAGTAGCGATGCCCTTTGATACTAGCTTCTTTTCCGCCTGAATCTGTACGATGGTATAGACCGCGAAGAGCACGGAAGCCACTACTGCAAGGCCCACGAAGAAGATGGTCTCAGAACACAGCGACGCTACGAACCGAGGAAGAAGCTAGCTCCTGGCATTACTACTAGGAACAAAGGGCATCGCTACTAGGAGCAAGGACGCTACTAGTGGCTCCTGGCCTATACTAGTAACAAGAAGCTACTAGGTTGGAGGCCATCGCTAGTAGCTTGGAGGCTAGGGCGCAGTTCCGTCCATCCGGAGCGGAACTAACTGCGATGCCCGATCTTCCGGGTCTTCCGCTCCGGACGTGTGTGACTTGCACAAGCCGATTGGGTGAAAACGGCTGTGTGACAATGCGCCCTGGCCAAACGCTGAAAACGGCTGTGACACCTGTTTTCTTCGGGCTCTGTCGGGACTCCCTGCGCTCGCAACGATGCTACAAAGAAAGGAGTAGCCGACCCTCTGCGTCTGCAAGTCCTGCAGCGACGAACTGCGAGACGCAGGTCGTGAACTTCCGCGTCGATCGCTGAAGGAGGGTAGGGGGGATGAAGGATAAACCTGTCCCAGACACTCCATGGGACTGGCATATAGGCCGATCAGTTGGGGTGGTTTGGGGGGTCAATGTAGGCACATATGGCAGTCCCATGGAGTGTCTCGCAGCAGCTATCGTCAACAACATGACTTGCATTGAACAACCCAATTGAATTGGATTATTTTATAATGCCCGCGCCAAGTTAAACCTGGTCCTTGTCCTCATTGAAGACTGGTTTTGCATGACTGGACCAAGTCAAATAGGTCCTTGACCTGTATTGCTTATATGAAATATGAAAACCATTGATAAATGTTAAATATAGCTTATGTAAACCATTTTGGAGAAGCTGTTACTACGATGCTACCAACGCTCCTCTCCGACCCTGTCTGTGACCCATCTCGCGCCCGTCTCATGACCGTCTCGGACTCGAGTGACCCTCTGCCCTCTCGGAGTGCTTGGTCGAGCCTCTCGGATAAAGTAGCCTCGGTCAAATGAAGCGGGTCTCTCCAGTCAGCATGGCACAAGAGGTTGGAGGCCATTGGAGGCCATTGGTTCCTTTTGCCGTTAGGTTGGCCGTTGCAAATAGGTTCCTTTTGCTGTTGGTTTGGAGGCCATCGCCATAACTCACAATGGCACATGGCACGGCACCGCATCGTTCCACGTTCCAGTGCGAGAATCGGAGACACGCCCGTGGGTGGAGCGATCACGGACTGTGGAGCGATCCGACCTGGTTGAGATCCGAAGTTAGCACCTGATCTTCTATCAGTCTGGGCGAACCTTCGTCTGGGCGAACCTTCCGTCTTCGTCTGGGCCTGGAAATGGGTCTGTACATCAAAGGGTTCACCCCACCTCATCCGTATGCCAAAGACTTTCCGGAACACACAGACCATTTCGCCAAATTCTTCCACCGGGACTTCCAGTTGTCCCCAGTGATGTTGGGTGATGGTTTTTCGGGAACCCGGTCAAGGAGAACGCATGGCACCAGAGCATCGCCTTGTGAATTTTGGAAGGCCAAGCAAATCAGTTAGCAGGACCCAACATTTCAGCTGATTGGATGGTCTACAGCCAAAAGCGAACCGGCGCCAACCGGGACACATCTTCGGCTCCCGGCACTTGGAGTTGTTCGTGGTGAGATACACGAAGAGCGCCGCCATGCCAATGGCGGTGATCTCGGGAAGACGGGCCGCACGAAGATGGTCGGTGTCGAACGAAGACAAAGAAACCGATAGAGTCTCTACAGACTCTACTCTGTTCGAAGAAACAAACCAATAAGCTGTCTGGAAATTCTACTCCACACAGTGCTGCATGAAAGGTAGGGGAGGGCAAGGGCTCAGGCAGCAAACGGAACAAGCATGAACATTCTGGAAGGGATACGTTGAACATCTTGCCATTCCAAGGAGGTTTGGCAGCGTCAAACCAAATATCAGCTCACAAACACCTCCAGTATAGTAACTCAAAAGAATGCACATTGGGATGGTTGGTTAATGACAAGTCAGTGGTTGGACGCACATGGGATCACATGGGTGCTTATGGGTGCTTGGTGCTTCAAGCCCTCCAGGTTGTGTCCGGTCGTTTCCGGTCGCCGCCTTCTTTTCGACTCGGTGCTCGAACGCTGCGCACGTCACGCTGCGCACGAAAGGACTTCGTCGCAGTGATAAAGTTGTCCTCGGGACCCTACAGAGATGTCATCCAACCTTATGGCGATGGCCTTCAACCTACAATGATATCATCCTGCAACTCACAGCGGTCATAAACAAAAGTAGAACATCAACGTTTGCGCGTATATCTGACCCATGACATGCTTCGACATACTCCCAAACAGCACATGGTATTAGAATGTATTAAAGTGACACGGCCAGACTCAGGCACCAAAAACTGGTAACCTTTTGGGGGGGGCTAGTATGATGGATTGATGTCCGCGATGAACATGATATGGTGCTGTAGATGGACTTGGAATGACATCTCCTGGATCAAAAACTTGAGAATGCCCCATTCATCCATGGGAGTGGAATATTTACAATCCTTCAAACATCTAAGAACATCTAAAAACAATTGTGGGCATGATTAATAATACTCCCAAGGATTAGGATGTTTCTCGTGTGGGGCGCCATGGCCCCACCTTGCCACTTTGGACATCTGCACCGCGCCGTGTTCGTGGCATCAAGTGGGAACACCATTTTCGGCCGCTTGTCCAATTCGCATGGAAGAAGTGACGCTACGAACGGGGCTCCTGGCCTTGCTACTAGGAGCAAGAAGCTACGAAGGGGGCTCCTGGCATCGCTACTAGGAACAAGGACGCTACTAGTAACAAGTGCATCGCTTCTAGTAACAAGTGCCTTACTAGTAGTAACAAGAAGCTACTAGGGGCTCCTGGCATCGCTACGAACGGAACAAGGACGCATGGAAGATTGGGTTGATGTGGGAGAAGCGACTTGCCACAGCCACCACTGGTCTGCAATATTGAATGACTCCTTCGAACATCGGCTGGCGTTGTTCTCGGGTGAAACGGTTCCTTTGTCGATCCTCTTTGGGAAACTCACAAAATGAACTCTGCGCCCATACTTCCACTTCACAATCCTTCCACTTCACATTTCTACTAGTAACAAGGACGCTCTTAGGGGCTCCTGGCCGTACTACTAGGAGCAAGGACGCTACTATAGTAGCATCCTTCCACTTCACATTCTTGGAACGTCCCATCTTCGGGAACAGCTTGAAAAACCAACCAGCTTAGGGCAAACATGCGCAGCGCCGGCAAGCGGACCATCAAAGAGGTGCATTGAGCGGTTGAGCCTGTTCCATGTCCAGATTCCCTACCAGGCCACCAACACCGAAGCACAGCATGCAGCAGCATGCGAAGCAGGGGAAGGCCAGCTGGAAAATGATGATCCCTCAGGTCATGGATGCAGTTGCGGCCAAAAACAATGCCGGCGCCGGGACCTCTCTGAACACCACAAATAATAGCTAAATACAGTTTTCAGGAATCTGATGATACTCCTATAGTGCCACCATGTACCACCCAATCCCAAGCCTCACTCCGTCTCCGCCTCCGCCTCTTCCGCTGGCATCGCACCCCCCGACACATCGCTTTCGAGGCGAGAGTCCATTGGTCCACTGCCGGATGAGGTGAAGGCAGGTTCGGTCAGTGCTCTGCGACTCCCAGAGAATCCCAATCGCCAGCCAAATGAACTCAGGTGGTCGTCGTTCAACGAGCGTTTTCTGCCGCAACGAGAACAAATGACTTGCACTGAACAAACTTCTACATCGAATACGCTGCTATACTTAAACATCTGCCCTGCCACCTGCGGTTCCAAGGAAATAAAACATTGTGTTAGATTATGTCGCTTTATGCGTTGGAGAAAGTGTCTTACACTTCAGTTGTAGAAAGCGATATATATATATATATTAGCTATTACTACTAGTAGCAAGAAGCTACTAGGAGCAAAGGGCATCACTACTAGGAGCAAGGACTACTAGGGGCTCCTGGCATCACTACTAGTAGCCAGAAGCTATGGGGAAAAAGTCTTGGCGACTTCTTTAACCACCAAACAAGCGCTCCACATGGTTGGAGATTTATGGTGAACATCAACAAACATCTGGTGATTCTTGGCTGGGCCACATGTTGCTTGCGTGCAGTGTGTGCCCCAGGTGGTTGGAACAGTTCCAGTTCCAGTGAAAAAAAACCGATGCTTGCATGAGTTCTGGAGCTCTGCAAAACAAACGGATGAACACAAAGACCCACCAGCGACCTGCCACTCCCGACCACCCGACGTGACCATCGAGTCGGTTCGACCCGCCATGGTACCGTCGGCCACTGAGAGTATTTCATGATTTTCGAGGCCCAGCCAGGCGTCCTGGGAAGGTTCCCAGGTTCCGGTGCTCGACTGTCAGCTTGCATCCACTATATATTCATATATATATATATACTCCATGTATATACGGAATACTAGATGCCTAGTTAGGTCCCTACGTTGGCCCCTGAAACCGCGCTTTCTGCAGGTACATATGCCATGCCTTGCATGTGTCTGGGATATAACATGATGTCTTGGAAGGCCCGGTCTCTGGTTGATTAGAGCATCGTTCGAACTAAGCAACAAAAACATCCCAGAGAATCCTTCCACGAAGTGACGGGATCGATCATGCATTTGGGTTTCACTGGTGATCCATCGGAGGATCTGTTCGACTATCTCTTTCACCTCTGAGAAACAATGATGGAACATGCGATGAAACATAACGAGCAAACGAGCGGCTGCTTGGACGCAAGCCTTTCCTCAATGTCCACATTCTGCTCCTGAGGACCATGGCCAAATAGGCTGCAAAAAACGTGGGCCCTGGCGATTCGTTTCCTTCGTTTGAAAGCCTGGAATGCACGGTTCAGAGGGATTTCGAGCTCTTGATGGCATGGCTGGGGGACTCAGATTGTAGCCAACCCTGCAAAGGCGCACTAGCTGCGGTCGCTGCCCGCTCGAGCGCAAGTGTGCCCAACGAAAAAAACAACAAAGAGCGGAACACCTGGTCGTGTTTGATGATCTCAGCCCAGCTGTTTGATGATCAAAGCAGCTCCCGTCATTTTCACAATCCCTGGAACAGTACCTGGACCATCCAGCTCGTAACCTAGAAAACGGGACTTGGCCCTATTGAACACGTACATGATTAATTACACCGGTTGTATACCCATTAGTTTGACGGGACTTGGAGGCTCCAGAAGACCAAACAAATCCAAGACACGAAGGCTCTCCCTTCTTCTTCTGCTTGTTTCTTTCCTCATGGACCAGCGGAGGCCATACTCCGACGCGCGGAGGCCATAACGCGTGCGACTCGCGGAATGAGTTTCTGTTCGTTGTTAGTAGCTTCTTGCTACTAGTACTAAGGCCAGGAGCTACTAGTAGCATCCTTGATCCTAGTAGCGATGCCCTTGTTACTAGGGTCCACCGCGTCCACGGATAGACCTTAGAGCGACACAGGCTCGGGACTCACCACCCGTTGGTCCGCCCGACACGGATCAAACTTGTGAAGCCAACAACTTCGTCTTCGAGGAAGCATATTGATAGGACAAATCACATGGAACAACAGAAGACCTGCGCGACCTGCGAAGGGCGCACACAGCCAGAGATTCGGTACACATAGGCAATCAATTCTTTGTCCTGTGCAGCTTTTTGGGCTTCACCTGAGGTGGATCCGACTCAGCAGGCTCAACCTCAACAGAACATGGACAGAACCGTCTAGAGAGTTGGATCGATGACCCATCCGCATGCAGGAAACCTTAGATCGCCCCAGCTGAACTATGCTGGACTTTTGGTCGAAACACACATGTGCAGCGGCATTTGCTTGGTACTAGGAGCAAGGACGCTACTAGTAGCTCCTGGCCTTACTACTAGTAGCAAGAAGCTACTAGTAACAAAGGCCGGGCAACGCTACAGGGAGCAAGAAGATACCAGTACTAGACTCAAATACACTATCTTTTATGTGGGGGCCCTATCTCGTTCACAAGCAAATAGAGCATGCCATATACTACTTTACTAAAGCCATAAAAGTGGTTGCTCAAATAGATATATAATAATCCATTGCAAGCGATGGCCTCCAACCCAATAGCAATGGCCTCCACCCTAGTAGCGATGGCCTCCAACCTAAGAGCGATGTCCTCCACCCTAGTAGCGATGGCCTCTACCCAAAGAGCAATGGCATCCAACCAAAGAGCGATGGCCTCCAACGTAAGAGGGAAGGCCTCCAACCTAAGAGCGATGGCCTCCAACCTAAGAGCGATGGCCTCCAACCT